CAGGCTGCCGCTCAAGGTGACGAGTCATTCCAGCCGCCATTTATAAAGCAACCTTCAGACAACTCCCATTCCCAAAGTTCATTTCTTATTTTGAGCCGTAAGGGAAGCTCTGCTGACTGCCAGTGCCAGGACCTTCCTTCCACGTTTTACACCTGGGCCACCCAGTATTTGCCACAGTAGCCAGTGACTACTGGACACTTGAAATAGGGCAAATCCAAGTTTCAGCAACTGAGATGGCGGAAGGTACAAAAGACAGGTCAGATTTTAGAGACTCAGTACTTACTCTAAGTGTAAGCTATCTCACTATTAATTTTTATCTTGATTATCTGTTCAAATAACAACATAAATATACTGAGTTCAATAAAATATATTAAAATATATTTAACCACTCCTTTGAACCTATTTAATGTAAGCCCTATGTGATTTAATATATTAGCTTGCTTAATGTTGATAGATGCTAGTCTGCACACTGAAATGCACTAATAATTTTCAGTCACTTAATACATATCCCAGTCCACACCTAAAGAATCCATACCTCAACATGAGGAAAAGCCTTTGGATCACAGAAGTACAGTTATACTTCTCCTGCAAACACATAAAAGTCCTTTGCACAAATAACAACAAAGAAATTTACTCACCATTCATTTAGCAATTGTATCAGTTAAATAATCAGTGGTAGAGACTCTACATGTCCGACACTACCACTGAGAACAGCGTTACAGCTGTGAACCAATCAGAAACAGCCAGGGCCACCGTGCACAGTGAATTACAGTAGTTAGAACCCAGACTCCGGAGCCTGCTGACTTGGGTCTAAGTTTTGGCCCCATCCCTTACCAGCCATGTGACATAGCCAAGTTCAATAGGGGTCCTATCTGACAAAGATGGTGTGAGGATTACATTAGTTTACAGGTGTAAAACACAGAAGGGTACTGTATTATTTATTCAGTGCTACATATCTTAGCAATTTAAAACAATATGCGTTTATGATCGCACTGGTGGGAGAGTTTTTTCAGGTATAGTAGGTTTGTAAATTTGGTGCTGGAACATTGCGTATGCTCTGATGAAATGGCTTCTATTAATTTTTTTCTTGAGATGAGTTCTTACCATGTTGCCCAGGGTGGTCTAAAACTTCTGAGTTTAAGTGATCTTCCCGCCTGATGCTCTTGAATAGGTAGGACTACAGGTAGTGCAACCTTACCTGACAATCTACTGCCTTTTTAATGAATATTTTTCCTTTAGTTTTTCAAGTAACTAAGCATTCCAAATTCTTGCTATTCAAAGTAAGGCTCCTGTATCAGCAACATTGGTAGTACCTGTGAGCTTGTTATAAAGGCAGAATCTCAGGCCCCACTACAAACTTACCTCATCAGCATCAGTGTGTTTCAAGGTCCTTGAATAATTCCTGTGTATATTAGCTTGAGAAGTAGCATTCTAAATGACTTACCTGTTGATGATAGAAGTTCAGAACTAGCCAAATAATTAGAATTATACTGTACAACAAACTGATATTCTTCAGGAAACATGGGTTATTGACCAGCAGTTCTTTCATCTATAAGACTTTTTTAAACAGATGTGTTCTTGCTAGAGAATCCTTGCTAGTTTCTATAAAAAGTGACTAAACAATTAAAAACAAAATATTACAATACTGTTCACCTTTGGATTTTACTGTGTCAGTGTTAATATTTTTCATTCAACAAACATACTGAGTGCATAAAATCAGCTAGATGTCGTCTTGGTTTTAGGGTTACATTAATAAACAAAGATTTCTTGCCCTTGAAGCCTAACTCCTCTCCTTACTTAGCTCTATTTTACAGCCTGTGATCATAATTCTTCTTTGCATACACCACCAATCCTCCTGTACTTTGATACCACCCTACTTACCCCATTCATTGTGCATTTAATTGCACACTCACTGTGTTGGTCAGCTTTCCATCACTGAAGTACAGTATGTGACACCTGCATTTAAAGGTGGAGAGGTTTACTTTGGCTCACAGTCTCAGCATGTTCAGTCCATGGACAGCAAGCTCCAAGGTATTAACCACATGGTAAAAGAGCCTTTGGAGCAAAGCTGCTCAAATCTTAGCCACCCAGAAATAGAAAGAAAAGGGAGGATCTGGGAATAAGAGCACACCTTCCAAGTCACACACCCAGTCCAACCCTTCCAACCAGGCTCTACCTCCAAACCTGAGACTTTGGGGGGGCTTTTTAGATATAAACCATAACATTTCACCACCTCTGGACCCCAAAGTCTCATGTCTATCTCATTGTGCAAAATGCATTTAGTCCACCTCTAAGAGTCACCAGTCTCAACAGTTCCAGCACTGCTAAAATATCCAAGTCCAAAGTCTCCTCTGAGACTCAAGACAAATTCTTAGCTGTAAGCCCCTATAAAAATCAAAAAGAAAGTTAAAAGCTCCCAACCTAAATAAGCATTCCAATTTCAAAAGGGAGGAACAGGGGAATAGAATGGAATGGGGTCAAAGCAAAATGAAAACCCAGTAGGGCAAACATTAAACCCTGTAGTTGCATGTTCAACACCTAGACCTGGTTGTGGTGAGACCTGAGTTCCTAAGGACTTGAAGGGCCCTACAGCATTGCCAATTTCAGTGGTCATTGTACATGGCCTCTTTCTTGAGCTGGCTCTATTTACTGTCTGTGGCTTTTCTCAGCAGATTTTCCACATTCCTGGCATCTCACTCTTCTGTAATCTTCACTGCACCTTAGGCTTCACTGTCACAGCCTCATCTACTTCTCTCTCAGGGGCACTCTGCCTGGCTTCCAAGACCTTTTGAAATCTGGGTGGAAGTCTCCATGATCCCATAACTCTTACAGTCTGCATTCCTGAAAAACCAGCACCACAAGGTCTGCCATCAGTTCAACCAGTAGCCAGTCTCCCTCAGATCATGGCTGTAGAGGCCTCTCATCACCCTTCTTGAAGGGTGTCTAAAGGACTCTGAGTACCTAAAGGACTCTGTTCTCAGTAACACTGGGCCAACTATGGATGTGGTCTTACTGATTTCTAAAATAATCTCAAGGCACATTTCTTTTTGTACCTGTATAAAGTACTTGACTTGTTTTTAATGCTAGACCTTTAAGCAGTCATGCTGTCCTTTGCCCCAACCTTGCAGGTGCATTCTTTCCAGAGAAACTGCAAACATTTCAAATCATTCAGCTCTGTTATTTGTTCCAGAATCTTACTGTAGATTTGGCTAAAACTAATCAGAAGTGCCCAGGCCACAGCCTGAACACTAGGCTACCTTAAAATTTTCTCTCCCAGATTGATTAGTCTACTGTTCATATTCTCAGTCTCTCACAAAGTCTCAGGACATGGGCAAATTGTCTACATGTCCTGTAGTCTCAGAACATGCAGATAATTTTTCTTCCAGAGCAAACACACATGGCCTCTAGTCCAACTGCCAATGGAGTCTTTGTTCTCAGCTGAAACTCTTGAGCCTGGCTTCCACTCTCTGCCTTTATATAAGCTTTCTCATCTTTTGAACTCAGACCAGTACTGCATATGAAACACTGTTTACTCTGTTTACAGAATTCTATGGTTCTCTAGTTGGCACTTCCAAGCCTTTCTAAACTCCTCCTGCAAACCATTTCCAAAGCCTTCTAAACCACACAGTCAGCTACAGTCACAGCCATGGCCCCACTGCTGGTAGAAATTTCCTGTATTAATCAGCTTTCCTGCTGCTTCACTTACTTATTCAACTAATAAACAATTATTTGCTATCTACAATATGCCAGGTATTGTTTTAGGCACTTGGGATTCATTAGTGAACAAAATAAATAAAGATTTCTGCCCTCATGAAGCTTAAATCTGAGCTGGCCCTCTGGAAAAATGTAGGAGAGGTTGATGGAAGAGCTGTTCCCTAACAATGGAAACAAATAAATTACTCAGTCTAAATCCTCCAAATTTCCCTAGGATTATAGCTCCAAAACATGAGCCTCCTCATGGCTCTCCTTTTTATTAAATGAATGTTATGAGGCAAGCCCCATTGTTTGAAAAATAAAAAGCTACCATTTTCATCATTAGAACCCAGTAGTTACCAGTTTTTCTTCCTTATTTTTAATTATTTTCCTGGGACCTCTACCCATTTGAATCTAATTATTGACCTCTCAGGCAGCAAAAGTGCTAACTGCGCCCCAGCAGTGCTCAAGCCACCTGCTCTCAGAAGTCTGCGTCTTGCGCACCTCCCCGCTGTCCACTTTCTCCAGTCATTCTCGGCACTCAGAGCATGGAAAGTGTCCTCACACCAGCCACCTTCCTCAGGATGCAGAATACTTTCTCAGTGTGCCAAGGCCCCCAAGCAACACTTAACACAGCATCTAACTCATGAAGAATGATTAGAACGTTTATTTCCATGACCCAGTTTTCCTTTGTTGCAGCTGATCGTCCTGTTAACTTTATAGCAGCCTTTTCACAGTCTTGATGCCTACTAAAAGCTTATGGTGAGTTACAGGCCTTGAATGCTTTTCCTCACAGGAAGTGTGGCCAGATTCGCTAGCCCTCTTCCCCATGTTTGCACATGCGTGTTTTTTCAGCCCTGCCGTGGACCCCTGAATAATCCAGTTCTGGTGCAAACCTACTTCCTTAGCCGGTTAAACTCCAGTGCACACTCACATGCTGCTGAGAGCATCACCTGCTGGTGCACACAGCCTGTGCTCAAGCACAGACTATTTATAACCGAATCTCCTCCAGGACCTGAGGTGACCGGGCTAGTTACCCATCTAGAAACTAACTTGTATTGACAACCTCTTCTTCTCACTCTCCCCAAATCTTCTACTTCACATAATCACTCACCTAGCTAATTTTCTCTCCTCATACCCAGGCTAAGCTCTTGATCTTGACTTTAAAACCAAAAAAAAAAAAAAAAAAAACAAACACCAGGTCAAGAAACCCGAACCCTCTGGGCAGCCAGAGCTCCGCCCTCTGTCCCTGCTCAGCCCTAAGCCAAAGAGGGAGTGAGGGCTCGCCTGCAGAACCCAGGGTCATTCTAAAAATTGCACCACGGGGGTTGTCAGGTGGCTGCTGGTGGCTCCCACCATCCTCCTTCTCCCTCCCTCCGGCTCGCCACAGATCACCTTCCCAGGGGACCCTGCTGCTAAAACTTCGCTTTTGCCCGTCAGGCTGCCACTTCACAGAGGGAAGGAGGTGGGACCACATCGCCAGCTCCTGTCTTCTGGATCCTGGGGTGTGTATGGCTGCGGGGTGGGGGCGGTCGGGTGAGTGTTTGGGCTTTAGGGCCGCTTTCCTGCAGGGATCTCCAGCTGGGTCAGACTGCTCCTGTCCCTGATATGAAGTCTGGAGGCAGAAAACATTTACTTGGAACTTGAGAAATGTGATAAATTAGCAAACTGACGCAGTAACAGAAATGCATGAGTGATGCTCTACAGAAGTGAAATTACTTGCGACTTCTAATGATAATTTTAAGTCTCTTAAAAGCTTCCAGTGTATGTATCCCGCCCCCACTACTTTATAGAGAAGAGAAAGAGCAAAGTCTTGAGTTTGCTCACAAAGTTTAGAATTCCATTTTTTTAAAAATCAGGAAGTATTCAGTACCTGTTCAGTATAGATATAATGTTACCAGTTTTAACTGAATTCATAGTACAAAAATCAGACGATTGTTTAAACTCCCAGAAATAAAACTGACTGACAAAGTGGAACACCCCGCAAGTACCTCAAATGAGTTATTTGATTAAAAAATAGGTTTGCGGTTTAATGTGCACATATGTTTATAGTGTCGTATGTTTTGTAGTAAAAATCATGTTGGAATATAATGACAAAGCGGAAAATCCCTCTTCCATCAGCCTTAACTTAAAATGGCAAGTGGCGCGGCCGGGCCTGTTTCTATTCCGGGAGGCAGCACTGAGGAGCGCTGACAGATGCGAGCCCGGAATGTGGCAGGGAAGGGGCAGGCACAGCTGACCTGCTCCCTTGGCAAGAAGACAGTCCGGGCTCCCAGCTCCCTGTGAGAGTGACAGCGACACTTCAGCACATGCGGCTTTTCAATTTGCCCATGGATAGTGTCTCCCAGGAGACAAGGGCGGAGGCAACAGGAAGAAGTGTGTTCTGAAGTGCAGAGTGACAGCCCTGTTCTGTCCCCAGCTCTAGAAGCTTTCATCAGGGATTGGTTTTGGACCAGGAAGAATCTGATTTAATACGATCTCAGGCCTCACTCACCTACAGGTGAGGGGACGATTATGCTACTGTTTCTTGGCAACATGATTCCTAGTCCAGTGGTTCTGGATCTGTTTTGGATTATGGCTAGGAAAGAACCCTTGAAAGAAGTTCTGAGCCACTGTACAGAAAAGTACACATAAAGATATATGTGTAGCATGTTCCAGAGCATTTGGACGGCTCGTCGAACCCCCTGAAACCTAACCCAGAGCAGGGTTGCCAGACAAAATACAGTTCACCCTACGGCTTTGCTAAAATTCAAGTTTAACTGAACATCTTGAATTTCTATTTGCTGAATTTGGCAATCCAGACCTAGACCCAGAGACCTCAAGTAAAAAGCACTGTCTCAGTTGGTTCATCTGGTCTGATCATGTGTTGGTTCAAGGGCGACGGAAAACCGTATTGAGAGCAGAAGTGATGCGGGACCAGAGTTTTGCAACTCTGGCAGCAAGAGCCAGCTGTGTTTTGTTTTGCTGGGGATCAAACATGGCGCCTTGTGTGTGGAGCACAGGTGCTGTACCACTGAGCTGCACCTCCAGCTCCTCACTGTGTATTCCTAACTGTGCCCAATTTTAAAACTGAAAGGGTGTTTCCTTATTTGGCAGATGATTAAGCTGGAATCCTAAAGGCTTGGATATATTGCCCCTGGGCTGGCCAATTATTAGAGCAGAATGGATACAAAACTAGTTTTCAGTCTATGATGCTAGAGGAGACATCAGTCTTAGAAACCTGATTTTCAACCCCTCCTCTCCTTTGACAAACACAGAAGAGAAAGAGCCATTGTGCTAAAATTTCCAACAAAACTAGAACTAAAAATGTTGCATTGTGTCCCAGTGTCCTATATCCAGGGTCAGAGAGCAGAAATACAGTTAGCATTTCCTATGCAGTCTATATTCTTTATAAATAAAATCCAGGCATGGCACAGCCACTAGCCAAGTTGAACCACATGAAATTGACAATAATTGATTGTTTTGTCACCAAAAAATAGTAATTTCCTCTTCAAGCTAACACTTAAAAGGGAATGCTTGAGTAGCTGATCAACATATTCACGCAGGCCCCCCTTGAACTTATTTGTGTTTTGGGCTGACTGAATCTATTAGAATTTCACATCCTCTCTACTCTTAACAGGAGAAAGAAATTTGCAAGTTTTACATGTCCCCTAAGTTTATTTTACATTCACAAAGGCAACTCCTGTTTCAGTACAAGGAACAATCAGTTTACAATCTCCATATGCAAAATTGGGTTTTCTCACCCTCAGTTCCCCCTCCCTCTCCCTCTGTTTATCTTAGGTTGGAAAAAGCTAACTCTCCCCCGGCCAGAGCTTTAGCCCTACCCTGCATTGAAGGGAGATGAGACAAGAGGCTGGGTTTGAATCTTGCTCCCGCATCCTGCTCCTCCACCCTAACTTGTGTGACCTTGGACAAGCCTTTCTTTTTTCTTCCTGAATCTTAGTTTCTTCATTTGTAAAATGAACCCAATATAACCTGCCCTTTAGGATTGTATGTGGTATTTAAATTTTAAAAATGAATTCTGTAAAGTACGTAAGCCAGAGCTCAGCATACGGTTACTCCTCAACTGATAAATCCTACCTATATAATTAGTATTTTAGGCAGAAATGGAGGTATTGGTTTACATTTAATACATGATACATATTCATGCTTGGCTAATTTTATTTAGGAATTATTAATATGCTTAAATTTGACAATTAAGAAAGACCATGGAGAATGTGATGGCATGTGTGACTGCCCAGCTGTTCATCAGGTGTTGAATACTTTATGCTATTGCTGGGAAAGGGCAGAGGCCCAGGCTCGGTGAGGGCAGAGGGATGGGAGCACGGAATTCTGCCTAGGTCTCTTCCTCCCAACCCTGATGGGCAGCTCTGACTGGGTGACCGGACCAGAGCAAAGAGGGAGTGAGGCTGTGATATCTGTGACCAGGCGGGACACTCTCTGTGTCCCTGCACAGAATGAAGTTGTGGGAGGATAGAACCCCTTGCCCCACCCTCCACACCCCGTGCAAAGTCTCTACTTTGATCCAAAAAAGGAAGAGACAGAAAGGACCTGGCAGTGCCTCCAAATAGCTGCTCGTGCCATTCCACCACCTCAGCTGCTCTGATGAGAGCTGCTCCTCCTCCCATGCTTCCCACTGTGGTGGAGGCCGTGTGGAACATACACGGCAGCAACGGTCCCACGCGGAGCTGTGAAACCCTTCCTGTCTTTGATCATACATGGGACCACCAGTCCCCGGCGGGTGGAAAGACAGGATCAAGCCTGTTGTTCAGGAGCAGTGGAAAGACAGTCCTGAAGCTCCCCGGCCAGGGGCAGCTCAGCAAGGACGCACTCCCTGCCATGCAGACTGTAACCCCTCCCTAGGGTGCAGCAACCCTGGTGCCTCCCTGATCACCAAGCCTGGGCAGCCCTGAGTAGCCGACCACTAAATATTCACTCGGTGTACAAGGGAAAATCAGTAAGTAAAACTCTCATGCAACTTTCCGTTAAAATATAGGTCAAATAAAAAAATAGAATGCTTCTGAAATCTATTGCTCATGAGGCTGAGGCCAGAGGATCACATGTTCTTAGACAACTTAAACCTGTTTTAAAATTAAAATAATAATTTTTTTAAAAGACTGGAGATGTAGCTCAGTACAAAGGCCCTGGATTCAGTCCCTAGTACTGGAAGGAATGAAGGAATGAATGAACAAAAACCCGTGATCCCAATTCCCAGGCTCCTCTGTAGAAGTGTAGTGTTTTAAATGGAACAATGTAGCACAGAATGAGAACACCTGGACAGGTAGACAGCCTCACCTGAGATGTGCATTCCCAGGCCAAGGATGTCATGGCAGCTCTGTAAACAAAGACCAAATTTATTTCCTGAATTTACCGAGGAAAATACAGCCACCAAGAAGTTACCTGTGGACGCTGATTCCAATCAGCCCTTAAATGTCTCTTGCCTGTTTCTCTCCTCTCCCTTTCCCAGAGAGCGCTAAAGAATCCAGGTGTCTCTGCAAAGTGATCTTATGGGCTCAAGAGAAAGGGCTGCTCTATTTGAAATTTATATGTGAGTGACAGAATGACAGTGATTTCAAACCTCAAAGCATACAACAAGAAGCATGCATGTCCAGGAGGTAGAGTGAATCTGTCCATTAGCAGATCAGCTCGGGTTCACCTGTCAGACTCACTACTGTGTCACCCAGTCGGGCCCTGCAGAGGTGGGCAAGGGCAAGACTGAGATCAGGAGAGGGGCACGGAAGTTCCCCAGATGTGCAGCAGTCAAGAGCCAGGTCCACAGGGGGCACCAAAGGCAGCGTAGAGGCCAGACGTGAAGGAAAGAGGAGGGTCAGCAAGAAGAGGGAAGGCTGAGGAAGACCGGGAACTGGTCGCTCGTTTTGTAGCCCCAGGTTGCCCTCTCCTTCCCTGGAGAATCTTAATCCTTCTGAGTAAATACAACTCATCAACATCCTACGTTTTGACCTAATGTTAGCTGCCAGATATGTTCCTCATGAACTCAGCATCTCAGAATGCACACGGCAGGGTGAGTCAGGCCTCCCTGCCGCTGCTCGGGGCATTCCCTCTCCTTCTAATGATCGTCCCCGTCTCATTCCCACTCACAAGAATCCTGTTACCAGGACCCACTAAGATTTATGTTATCTGCAGACCTCCTCTTCCTAACATCACCTCACACAAGAGCGCCCTCAAGATGAATCCTTAAATCTGGGCTAACAGATTCCTTATGTTCCATGTAATCTGCTGTTTTGCTTACCTGATAACCCAACGTCCCAAGTTTTCCAAACTACCATTCATATAAAAATAAAAATACTCTGTTCCAAATTCTTTAGAAATACTATCATGCTCCAGCTGCTGTTTGCCAGCTTGCCCTCTGGGTCGCCATATGCTCCTGTCCCATGCTGCATCCTGCTCCTGCTTCTCCATGCTTAGGGGCTTCTCATGTACTGTGCATGTGTAAGTGGTTGCTCTCGGACTCTGTCATGGTACAATGGTCATCACCACACGTGGCTACTGAGCACCGGACGTGGGTAGCACAATCTAAGATGCAGTGTAAGTCTAAACACACCCTGTATTTTGAAGATTTAGTATGAAAAAAGAGTAAAATATCTCATTGATGACTTTTATAACAATTACACATCGAAAGGAAAATATGCTGAATAAAATACACAGCTAAAATGAATTTACTTTTCCCTTTTCACTTTCTAATATAGTAAACAGGAAATTTTAAATTGTACATGTGTCTCATGTTATATTTCTGTATAACAGCATTACTCTAGAGAGGTGATAGCGAAACTTTTAGGAACAAGGGCCCAAACTGCAGCCCCAAACCCACTTATTTACTGCAAAGCGCCAACTCTGCAGTTAAACCTGAACCCTGAGGTTTCAGTTTAGAAAAAACAACTCATAATTAACATCTTTTGTCTTAAAAGAAAAAAATAAAACACATGTGCCATTGGTTTTCCACCACTTCTCTAGACATTACAATATTTAAGGTTAAATGTTCCCAGGCTGTGTAACATTCACATAAAATATGGACGCCAAGCTGGGGGTGTAGCCCTGCGACATCACATTTGCGTAGCATGCGCAAGGGCTGAGCAGGACGTCTAGTACCCACAAAAAGAATGAAGCAGAAACCCTGCAGCTACTTGTCTACTTTTTTTTTTTTTTTTTTTTTTGGCAGTACCGGGGATCGAACTCACGACCTTGCACTTGCCAGGCAGGCGCTTATGCCACTGAGCTAAATCCTCAGGCCCCTACTTGTCTACTTTTACCTCTGTCCCTCCATCCTCTCTTCTGTAATTGTCTTGGTACTATGTCTATACACATTATAAATGCCACAAAATAATGCTACCATTTTTGCTCTAAAGAGTCATATTTATTATAAAGAACTTCAGGGTGAAAAGAGTTGTTTTTTATATTCCTCCAGACATTCACCATCTCTGAGATTCTCAAAGATTCAAGCTTCTTCTGGGCTTCCTGCTGACACTCTCCAGAGCCCAGCTCCATTCCCAGGAATACAGGTGTCACAAACTCTGCCCCCTGGCTCTTTAACCCTGTTGAAGCCGCAGGGATTGCAGCCCACTGGTAGGTTGAATGCCACAACAAAGCATGTGAGGGTTGGGCGCAGGGCTCCCCTATGTTATTCTCTTTTCCAGCTGTCAATTCCCTCCTGAATCATCTCCTTCTCTACTCTTGTGAGCTCTTACATCTCCCATGCCCTCAGCTTAGGGTTATCTTACAGTTGTGCTCTGGATATGATATCCCTAAAGGAAGAGCAAGTCAGCCAGCAACTTCTCAGACGGTACTAAGGGTACTTGGAGGATGCCTCATTTAAGGATGACGTAGAGAGTAACAACATAGAATAGGCAGTTTGAGAACTGAAAATCAGATGTCACTGCTTCTAGAGTCCCCTGGCCACTCCTTGATTCTGAATCCCCTGCTGGTCCTCTTCCTGCATAGCCTCAGCATATCACTATCGTAAAATACTGAGAGTTCTCTGTAAATATGAATATGCATATTATATATATATATATATATAAAACAATTTAAATAGACGATCGGCTGCTGCCCTGAGCCCCTGTAAACTTCTCCCAACCTTCCATCCTTCTCATAGGCCATCCTGGGCCAGACTGCGATCAGTAACTGAAGGATTACAGGAACCTCTGGGTCCCAGCACCAGCTCTGGGGCCTGAACCCATTCTAATGCTGACTAGAACTCTGCTTTAACAGCTATTAATACTTGAAATTTCACCTCTGCATACCACCAAACGACCTTTTAACGATGGATAAACAAAATATTTAGTTGTTCAGTCTGAAGCACTCCGATTCCTCCTGAGGTTCAGAATTCTTCTAAGACCGTGAGAGTTCACGAGCCCTACGACTGAGTGAAAAACTGGCACCTTGGGTTCCTGCAGGAATACAGACACGACTTTGTCTCTAGAATTTACTCTGCCGGGCTTGCTTATCATTTTGCATTTGTCAAATCTTTGTCTACCTAGCAGAAATTACATCTTAAATGGCTCCAACATTCTCAGCAAACTGCTGTCCCCTGGCAGTAGAGAGCTGGTAACTGCTTGCTAAAGAAAGTACTTAAAAGTTTCTCCCCGCAAAAAACCAACAAGGGGGGCACCCAAAGCAAAACCCAAAGGCATCCGAACACTAAAATAACATTCATAGATTCATAATGTGTTTCATAACTGTTTGCCGAAAGTAACAAGGAAGAACATATATGCTAGCCTTTTAAAGAAACTTACAATGTGAATGTGATAATCTGAGCTAAGCGAGAAAGACAGACGTCCTGCCAAGGAAGCCAGTCTCCGTTTCTGTGACCTGCTGCTACCCTTCTGCATGGCTGGACAAGGACACACACAACAGAAGGCTGCACAGTCTTTCTATTTTTTTAATTTTAAAGAGAAAAACAAAATTTTAAAACAAGGTAATAGGAGGGTAACAATGGTTAATACATTACACATTGTTATCTTTAAATGAGTTGTTACTCAGAGTACAAGATACCAGCATTTAATTGTCTGAAAAGTATTAGCACCAACCTCTTTTCATTGAACTAAGAGAAGTTAGTAGCATAACTACCTTAGCTATGTTTTATATGTGTATTTTTATTCTTTTTGCTTTTCCCTCCCTTCTCTTCTTCATTTCCCCATCTCAGTTTCTCTTTCCTTTGGAAGTTTCTTCCCACTTTGAAGTATCGATTGTAATTTTAAATCTTATTTACTCTTTCAGCTTCTCACACCTCTTTACTTTTAACACAAAATCCTACAGTGCTCATTTTACAGCTCTAAGTTTCCATCTTTTACATTATAGTAGGTTACATTGCTATTGTGATTAAAGCTATCTTTCCATAGTATTTTCTAATCTTACATATATTCCAAATTTTAGTACTAGAGGAAAACCTTCAAAGTGGTTGTCATCACTTTTGGGTGAGGGTGAAGTACAGCCTTTGAACAATGTTTATTATTCTATAACTACTGCACAGTGGAATCAGACATGTTCTTCTTTGCTGCATGAAAGATACCTGACAATACACTGAGAAATCTCACTTGATCATACAGATCTTCTAGACTTATTTTCTATACGTAACGCTGCAGTAAAAACTGCAATAAAATGCCCTTTCAGTTTAATGTCTTTAAATCTGTGACGATTAGTCTACTTTATGCCGTTAAAAACCATCATCTTATAATAGTTCATCTTATGAAAAAGTTTCTCCACGTAGTATTTCAAAGTCCAAAGCACAACTGGAACAAAACCCTGCCTTTCTTTTCTTCCTTTAAGCAAGCCCTCGCCTGTGACAGTGCATCTGCCCACATGGCACCCAAAAAGAAGACTGTCAAGAAGAACAAAGCTGAGATCAACGAGATGACGATCATCGTGGAAGACAGCCCCCTCAGCAAGCTGAACGCCCTCAATGGACTCCTCGAGGGAGGCAACGGCCTGAGCTGCCTCTCTTCCGAGCTGACGGATGCTTCCTACGGCCCCAACCTCCTGGAAGGCCTCAGTAAAATGCGGCAGGAGAGCTTCCTCTGTGACTTAGTGATCGGTACCAAAACCAAATCCTTCGATGTCCATAAGTCAGTGATGGCTTCATGCAGTGAGTACTTTTACAACATCCTGAAACAAGACCCATCCACTCGCAGGGTGGATCTCAACGATATCTCCCCGCTGGGCCTGGCCACAGTCATTGCGTATGCCTACACAGGCAAGCTGACCCTGTCCCTCTACACCATAGGAAGCATCATTTCTGCTGCTGTTTATCTCCAGATCCACACGCTCGTAAAAATGTGCAGTGATTTTCTGATCCGGGAGATAAGCGTTGAGAACTGTATGTACGTTGTTAACATTGCTGAGACTTACTCCCTGAAAAGCGCAAAAGCGGCAGCCCAGAAATTCATCCGGGACAACTTCCTCGAGTTTGCAGAATCAGATCAGTTCATGAAACTTACATTTGAACAAATCAATGAACTTCTCATAGACGATGATTTACAGCTGCCTTCTGAGATAGTAGCATTCCAGATTGCAATAAGATGGCTAGAATTTGACCAAAAGAGAGTGAGACACGCTGCAGAGCTCCTGAGCAACATTCGCTTTGGCACCATCTCCGCACAAGACCTGGTCAACTACGTTCAGTCTGTACCAAGAATGATGCAAGACGCTGACTGCCACAAGCTCCTTGTGGATGCTATGAACTACCACCTGCTTCCCTATCATCAGAACACACTGCAGTCAAGGCGAACAAAAATCCGAGGGGGCTGCCGGGTCCTGGTTACTGTTGGAGGACGTCCAGGCCTTACGGAGAAATCCCTGAGTAGAGATGTTTTGTACAGAGACCCTGAAACTGGATGGAGCAAGCTCACCGAAATGCCAGCCAAGAGCTTTAACCAGTGTGTGGCTGTGATGGACGGATTTCTTTACGTCGCTGGCGGTGAAGACCAGAACGATGCAAGAAACCAAGCCAAGCACGCAGTCAGCAATTTCTGCAGGTAACTGATCTTTTACAGGAAACTGCAATGGCTCAATATTTGGGGAGAAAATGCCTTGACATAGAATTAGACTAATCATGCCTATTAGCTTAGTTGGCTCAGCATATCAGTCACAGCAATGCCACCTTGCATACGCACCTCCTTTTATGTCGTGTAAAGTGCATTCAGGTATATCACACACATTAGATTCCCAGAACAAGCCTGCAAGGTAGGCTGGGCATTACTCTGCTTTTACATATGAGAAACTGATACCCAGAGAAGCCCTACCACCAGTAGATAGCAATGTTACTTTCATGGTTTTAATTGGGTGCCCCTGACAGTACACTAATTTATGAAAGAAACTAGCTGCAAATCTAATTTTTAACACTAAGTGGTAAGAAAGAATAAAATAATACGGTATTTCTTTTAAGTTACTGCTGCTGACAACTGTCAGATTCGTCACTGGCAAATAGAATGTGATCATTAAAATGTAGTAGCTAATTAATTTTAAATATTTGACGACAAAATAAAACAGAATGTCAATATTTTTGACACACAAAGAAAGAAAGAAAGCATAATAAATCCATCAAAATGGAATTCAAAGGCCATATTATTTTAGCATATTCTTAAAGAGTAGTAAAAGGAAAAAAAAAGAATAGCAGCATACCAACATCACAAACATAAACAAAACAAAGCAAGCGCAGTAAAAGTGACAGGTTTCAAGACAAAATGATACGAATTAACAGTGGCTGTTATATCACATCCAACTACAGTGCTCAGATTACCAGATGTAAGAATGGAACATTGTTCAAACCACTAAAGAGAATAAGAAAATAATTATTAGCTAAAACATTAAAGATCATACAGAGTTTCCCTAGACAAGATGGTAGGAATTCACCATGGTAGTTCCATTGCATATTGTTGCCTTCAAATCAGTTCCATTGCATGTTGCTCAGATTACCAGATACAAGCATGCAAAACTGTCAGAACATAAAAAATTTTAAGCATTAACTGTTCCTTTCAGTACACCATCAGACATCAGCAGTAGTTATCTCAAGTATCTATCTATATGTATATATATATATATATTTTGCCTTCCTTCTTTTCTTCTTTCCCTCATCCCAGTTGTTCCTTCCTTTGAGCAATCTCTTTCCCTTTCCTATCAGCTATTGTACATTTTGGATTTTATCTACTCTTTCATGTTCTTACACCAGGGAGACAATGTGATGTTCACACATGTGGGACCGATTTATTTCACTTATGAGTAAGGTCTCTAGTTGCATCCATTTACCTACAGCTTCCATATATATGAAATGGTCACAAAGTCACGTTCCCATCACGACAGTTATACAAAGTAAAACATAACCAAGGAACAAGATCTGAAAATTTCTACAGTATTTCATGAAAGGTATTTTTTCTTATTATACGTGAATGCACCGTTCTTAAAAACCCAAACAACCAATCGATTTCTAACCTTCAATTTATACCTGCAGGTAAGTTACTGTCTGAGTTCAAGGGGAAAAGACGGACAACAAACTGAGGGAGTCATGGGCTTACAGCGCCTCTTCTTGTAACCAAGAACGCCCCAGCTTAGCAGGCCCGCTTGCTTTTATCGAGCTGATTTCCTCCCTGTGGGTATTTGATTTCCTCCCTATGGGCATTTTTCAGTACTGATTTCAGTACTTACAAAGCTATAGTATTGAGTACTGAAAAACAAAGCTCTAAATTAAAACCTGCCCTCCACTAACACGTGCTGGACCGCAGCGCAGCCTCAAAGCCCCGCCTCGGTCGGTGCGCTCTAGACGGGCGCCGCAGCGCTTTTCTCTCCACGCCCGGCAGCTCTGCTCGTTCGTCCGCGGCAGGCGGCGCGCCTTCGCTAAGCGGCCAGGGCGGCTGGGGACGTGCGCGGCGAACGCGGCTAACCGGAGCGGCGGGGCTGCCCGCTGCGCGCTCCCGAGGCAGGCGCACACGCGCTCCGCGCCCCGGAGCGGCCCCGCTGCAGGGCCGGGCCCCGCTGACCCTCTGCCGTTGCAGGTACGACCCCCGCTTCAACACCTGGCTGCACCTGGCCAGCATGACGCAGAAGCGCACGCACTTCAGCCTCAGCGTGTTCGACGGGCTGCTGTACGCCGTGGGCGGCCGCAACGCCGAGGGCAGCCTGGCCTCGCTGGAGTGCTACGTGCCCGCCGCCAACCAGTGGCAGCCCAAGGCGGGGCTGGAGGCGGCGCGCTGCTGCCACGCCAGCGCCGTGGCGGGC